AATCCGTTCCGCCCTCCGCCTGAATTTGGTCGCAACCCGAGGCAATTTTCTCTTCAGAGCCCGACTCCCGCCAAGCCTGGTCTGCATTTTCTTTGGAGCCATGCTAACACGCACACCAAAAACCTTCGCAAAACACACCACAAGCCTCACCGAACGTCTCCTTGCTACCGCGACCTCGCCCACAGGAAGCCGCGACCACGTGGCAGCAGGGAAAATGGCCACGGATCCGGTTCGTAAGTAGAGGCAAGTTCGTATCCTGAGGTAAAATTTTCCTGCCGAAGCTGGTCATAACCCGAAATGTTCGTTAGTAGAGGCGTTCGTATCCCGAGGTACCACTGTACTGTGAATTGCACCTGGCACTCTTCCTAATCACTGATAAAAATGACTGCTAAACTCCGTCACTGTTTCTATGTTTTCCTCTCCTGTTTGCTTGTGTTATCCTATTATTTTAAAGTTTATCTACGTCCAAGAAATGTGTAAAAGCCTGTATCCATCTGCTGCAAGGAGAAGGTGCAGCAAGGTAAAACAGAGATGCCTGTGCTACACTTCTCCCAATCCTACAATTTAAAATAAAGGACGGGTTGCCTTCCACCCTGCCTGCAAATTTCCTGAACACCCCCTTTGAGAAAAGTAAGATGTAAAGGCAAAGAATGCCTTTAGAGCCAACTCAACGCTCAACTGCTCTACGTGCCCCTCTTCTTACCTGGGGGGTTAGTATTATTTGGAGCGGAGCATCAGGAACCACCACAAAGAGCCTCATCAGCTGAGCATAGTGTGGCTTCAGTCCCCTCCCTGGGTTGGATGAGAGGATGTAGAGGGGCATGTCAGAATTGAGGGCTTTGACGGCTGATTCCTTGGGCCCCCCTCCCATCACTTTCATGATCTTCTCCGGCCCTGAGCACATGAACCTCCGGCCCCGGGCATCTTCGTATTCATAGCCCACGAAAGCCCGAGCCACGTCGTCCCGCCGCCTTCCTCTCCCCATGACCACAGCGCTCCTTTTCCCTGGAATGGCCTTGTTAGGGGCTGGCCAAGAATTGGTGTCCAGGTCACCCTCCTCATCCGTCCGCGTCCGGATGACAATGTCCCAGGGCATTAAGTAGTTGGTCCCCAGAATGAAGCCTTGTTGATCCAAGCCTGCATGGAAGTTGTATGCTTTGGCAGGGCCAAGCTTCACCAGGGACCAGCTGGAGAAGGTGGGGAGAAGACCTTTGGGGCAATTGGAGTGAAGCATCCCGGGCAGATATTCCACCGTGGAGGGCTGCCGGTCGACCAAGCTTGCTCGCTTCTCGCCTTTCGATTCGGCCACCGGCCCGTGAGCTTCTGTGTTGTTGCCTCCGCCCTGCGGATCTGCGGGATAGGTCCCTAAACTATCCGTGGATTGATCCAGACTGAGGGCCAAACTGAGACTGGTGCTCTCCCCCTGGGTTTGGGGCTCCTTTTCCTTCAGCTTTTCAGCTTCCCCTTCGGGAGGGCTGGGTGAAGTCTCATTCTTGGCTGGGGCCGGATCTGGCGTGCTGGGCTGAAACACGGGGAAGTTGATATGGTCCAGCTTTCCGCAACATTTCTCTTCCAGCAGCTGTAACGGGGAGGGAAAACAGACAGGTAGCACAAACAATGAGGTTCAACAGACCCATCCCACACCTGGCACCCTTAAAATGTATTCAGGCTGCACTCCCAACCCATCTGGAAGGGGCCATGCAAATTACAATTGGCAGAGTTTGCTCTGAGCACTCCCCAGGGTGACTTTTCCAGCAATAAATTTAGGCAGGCTATAATGGTATATGGGAATGGCCTTGAGGGACAGGAGGAAGAGCCATGGACTGGACAACCAATGGGCAAAAGATGTCTCAGCTCACAGAAGGAGGAAGGGTGCAGGAAACATTTCCAAAAGGGCCCTCCCTAGTTTTCCGGAGAGTAAAAGGAGACAAGGGAAGAAATGCTTTCAGGTTTGCAAGATTCTGTTAATGGAACCTTGCAATCAAGATAGAGTTAGTACTCATGGTTGTGATTCTTGTCTGGACTACCTCGCAGGGCTCACACAGGCTGAAGAAGCCTAGTTTATTGCTGGAAAAGTTAGCAAGGGGGAGGGTGTTTTTGCTCAGGATCAAAATGCACTAACTGCAAAGGAATGAAGAGATGACCTTGGGGAAGGAACAGAAGAACCGTCATGGGAAAATGGAAAACATGAGGAAAAGACTATGTGATTCTGTTTGGCATAAGATAGGGCAAGGGGAGGAGTTGCATATGATACTGCGTGTGTGTGGCATGTGTGTGCAGGCATGCGTGTGTATCTCTCTCTTTATACACGCACACACACACATATATATTCCATGCCACTTCAGTCGAGTGAATTGGACCCCCTTGCAAAGCACCGGCAGAATCGTCCAACAATCAACAATATAAATGAATTAGTTTCATAGCAATACATAGCATTATAGCATTGCACACACACATCCACACACACACGTGTGTGTATATAATATCGTATTGCTATAAAGCTACAGTGGGGCAAAAAAGTATTTAGTCAGCCACCAATTGTGCAAGTTCTCCCACTTAAAAAGATGAGAGAGGCCTGTAATTTTCATCATAGGTATACCTCAACTATGAGAGACAAAATGGGGAAAAAAATCCAGAAAATCACATTGTCTGATTTTTAAAGAATTTATTTGCAAATCATGGTGGAAAATAAGTATTTGGTCAGGATATATAACAAAGTATTGAGATGAACTTTTGATATTGACCAAATACTTATTTTCCACCATGATTTGCAAATAAATGGATATATAACAAAGTATTGAGATGAACTTTTGATATTGACCAAATACTTATTTTCCACCATGATTTGCAAATAAATGGATATATAACAAAGTATTGAGATGAACTTTTGATATTGACCAAATACTTATTTTCCACCATGATTTGCAAATAAATGGATATATAACAAAGTATTGAGATGAACTTTTGATATTGACCAAATACTTATTTTCCACCATGATTTGCAAATAAATGGATATATAACAAAGTATTGAGATGAACTTTTGATATTGACCAAATACTTATTTTCCACCATGATTTGCAAATAAATGGATATATAACAAAGTATTGAGATGAACTTTTGATATTGACCAAATACTTATTTTCCACCATGATTTGCAAATAAATGGATATATAACAAAGTATTGAGATGAACTTTTGATATTGACCAAATACTTATTTTCCACCATGATTTGCAAATAAATGGATATATAACAAAGTATTGAGATGAACTTTTGATATTGACCAAATACTTATTTTCCACCATGATTTGCAAATAAATGGATATATAACAAAGTATTGAGATGAACTTTTGATATTGACCAAATACTTATTTTCCACCATGATTTGCAAATAAATTCTTTAAAAATCAGACAATGTGATTTTCTGGATTTTTTTCCCCATTTTGTCTCTCATAGTTGAGGTATACCTATGATGAAAATTACAGGCCTCTCTCATCTTTTTAAGGGGGAGAACTTGCACAATTGGCGGCTGACTAAATACTTTTTTGCCCCACTGTAATTCATTTCTATTGTTGATTGTTGGACGATTCTGCCGGTGCTTTGCAAGGGGCTCCGATTCACTCAACTGAAGTGGCAGGTAATAGATAACAAATCAAAACCTTGTGGGTGCTGGATCCTAACCCAAAGGACCCCATTCTCTATAGCAGTACCCTAATTGTGGAATCTCAAACTCCAAACTGTGAAATTGCTCCCCACTTTACTTACAATCCTGGCTGACCTTTAATCCTTTCTGGCACCAATTTAAGAGGTACTGGCACTTCCCTGTTAAATCTTTTATTTTATTTATTTAGAGCATTTCTATCTCTCCATCATTATTAACAGTGCATATTATCAAGTGTTAAATGGCTTGCGGCTCACAACTTAGGGTCTTTTTAAAGGAGCATAGCAGGTGACAGCCCCCAGCCAACCTTGGTTGATCTTGAAAAAGTGAAGTAGGGTCAGAATTAGTTGGTGGTCAGATGGGAGACCACAAGGAAATCCCAGGAGGGGAGGCTAGTGGGAAGTTGGAAAATACTTTCCAGAAGAAAGCAGTAACGACTCTTCCATATTATTGCCAAGAACACTACATGGGTGTCAAGTTTGACTTGAGAGAGGCTTTTCTTTTTTAAAGTTTTATGGTCATAAAAAAATTAATTAATTGTGAATCACTTATTCTTTATAATTTAGTTCTGAATGTTCTATGTATCTTTTAAAATGGTTTTCCTCTGAAAAGCACACACATTTGATAAATAAAGTTAATTTCACTTCCCCTTTGGCAAAAAAGCAAATAAAATAAAGTCTTGGCGCCCCCTACAGGAATGAAACCAGAGCAGAAAAGAACGGATACAAAACCAAAGCGATGATAGATAATTTAGAGAGATTGCTGTCAAAATACGGTATAGGTGTTAAAGACAACCAAGCATTTCAGAGTCAGGTGGCAAAAACAGAAAAATATATTTCTTTTCTAGATAAAAGAATATCCAGATTCTCCAGAGTCATTGGAGTTGGGCAGCCAATAAATTCAAATAAATAAATACATAATACATTTATTTATTTAAATGTATTGGCCACCCAGCTCCAGTTTGGTCTAGTGGTGAAGGCCCCAGGCTAGAAAGCTGGAGATCATGAATTCTAGTCTTGCCTTAGGCCTGAAAGCCGGCTGAGTGACTTTGGGCCAGTCCTTCTCTCTCAGCCCAGCCCACCTCACAGGGTTGTTGTTGTGGGGAAAATAGGAGGAGGAAGG